AAAAAACACCCCCTTGGTGGGCCCTTTGGGTTTTAAAAACAACCCCCTTGGTAAGGCCCTTGTTTAAAACCAAAACCCCTTGGTGGCCGTCTGTTTAAAAACACCCTCTTTGGTGTCTGTTTTTAAAAAACACCATCTTGGGTTGTTTTAAAACCACCCTCGGTAAGGCCGTCTGTTTAAAACCCACCCCCTTTTGGTAAGGTCTGTTTTTAAAAAACACCCTCTTGGGGGGCCGTCTTTTAAAAACACCCTTTTGGGAGGCGTTGTTTTAAAACCACCCTCTTGGCCTTTTTTAAAACCCCTCTTTGGGAAGGCCGTTTGTTTAAAAACACCTCTTGGTAAGGCCCCCTCGTTTAAAACCCCCAACTTGGGAGGCGTTTTTTAAAACCAACCCCCTGGCCCTCTGTTTTTAAAAAACCCCCCTCTTGGCCCCTGTTTAAAACCACCCCCTTTGGGCCCTCGTTTAAAACCCAAAACCTCTTGGGAGGCGTTGTTTAAAACCCCCTTTGGTGGGCCCCTTTTAAAAAACCCCCTTTGGGAAGGCCGTTGTTTTAAAAAAACCCTCTTTGGGGAGGCCGCTGTTTAAAAACACCCTCTTGTGAGGCCGTCTGTTTTTTAAAAAATTTTGGTGAGGCCTCGTTTTAAAACCCCTTGGTAAGGCGTTGTTTAAAAACCCCCCCTTTGGCCGTTGTTTTTAAAAAAACCCCCCTCTTTGGCCCCTGTTTAAAAAAACCCTCTGGCCCCTCTGTTTAAAAAAAACCCCCTTTGGGAAAGGCGTCGTTAAAACACACCCTTTGGTTTAAAGGCCCTTGTTTAAAACCCACCCCTGGGGTTTTTAAAAAAACCCTCTGGCCGTTGTTTAAAAAAAACCCCCCTTGGCCGTCTGTTTAAAAACACCCCCTTTTGGGAAAGGGCCCTCTGTTTAAAACCACCCTTGGCCCTTGTTTTAAAAAAAACAACCCCCCTTGGCCCTCTGTTTAAAAAAAACCCTTGGTAAGGCCGTCTGTTTTTTAAAAAAAACCCCCTTGGTGAGGCGTCTGTTTTTAAAAAACCCCCCCTTTGGTGGGCTGTCTGTTTTTTAAAAAAAAACACCCTTGGGAAGGCCCCGGGTTTAAAAAAAAACCCTTTGGTAAGGCCCTCTGTTTAAAACACACCCTCTTGGTAAGGCCGTTGTTTAAAACCCCCCTTGGCCCTCTGTTTAAAAACCCCCAAAAACCCTTGGCCGTCTGTTTAAAACCCACCCTCTTGCCCTCTGTTTAAAACAAAACCCCCTTTTGGGGAGGCGTTTTTTAAAAACACACCTCTTTGGGGAGGCCGTCTGTTTTAAAAACACCCCCTTTTGGGAAGGCCGTCGTTTAAAAAAACCCCTTTGGTGAGGCCGTTGTTTAAAAAACACCCCCTTTGGGAAGGCCTCTGTTTAAAAACAACCCCCTTTGGGCCCCTGTTTAAAACACACCTTTGGTGGGCCGTTGTTTAAAAACACCCTTTGGTAAAAGGCGTCGTTAAAAAACCCCCCTTGGTAAGGGGGGTCTGTTTTAAAACCCCCCCTTTGGTGAGGCCCGTCTGTTTTTTAAAAAAAACCCCCTCTTTGGTAAGGCCCTCTGTGTTTAAAACCCCTTCTTGGCCGCTGTTAAAACACACCCCCCCTTTGGGGAGGGGTCTGTTAAAAACACACCCTCTTTGGGAAAGGCCGTTTTTAAAACCCCCTCTTGGCCCTTGTTTAAACAAACCCTCTTGGTGAAGCCGTTTTTTAAAACCCCTCCCCCTTGGCCGTTTTTTAAAAAAACCCTCTTTGGGGAGGCCCTTGTTTAAAACACACCCTTTTGTTTAAGGCCGTCTGTTTTTTAAAAACCCTTTTTTTGGCCTCTGTTAAAAACACCCCCCTTTTTGAAAAACCGTCTGTTTAAACACACCCTTTGGTAAGGCCCGGTCTGTTTAAAACCCCCCTTTGTGGGGTTTTTAAAACACCCCTCGGTAAGGCCCTTGTTTTTTAAAAACCCCTCCTTGGCCCTTGTTTAAAACACACCCTTTGGGGGGCCTCTGTTAAAACACACCCGGTAAGGCCCCGGGGGAAAACCCCCCCCTTGGCCGTCTGTTTTAAAAACACCCTCTTTTGAGGCCGTCTGTTTTAAAAACCCTCCTTGGCCGTCGTTTTTAAAAACACCCTTTGTGAGGCGTCTGTTTAAACAACCCTTGTTAAGGCCCTCGTTAAAACCCCCTTTTGGCCCTCTGTTTAAAAAAAACCCTTTGGTTAAACCCCTTGTTTAAAAACACCTCTTGGGAGGCCGTCGTTTAAAACCCTCCTCTTGGGGAGGCCGTTGTTTAAAAAAACCCCCCTTTGGTAAGGCCCTCTTTTTTTAAAAACACACCCTCTTTGGGGGCCCTCGTTTTAAAAACACATCCCTTGGAAGGCCCCTTGTTAAAAACACCCCCCTTTGGTTTTAAAGGCCCTCTGTTTTTAAAAACAACCCCCTTTTTTAAAGGCCCTTGTTTAAAACACACCCCCTTTTTGAGGCGTCTGTTTAAAAAACCCCTCTTGGTGAGGCCGTCTGTTTTTTAAAAACACCCTTTGGCCGCTGTTTTAAAAAACCCCCTTTGGAAGGCCGTCTTTTAAAACACACCCCCTTGGTAAGGGCCCTCTGTTTTAAAACACTCCCCTTTTGGGGTCTTTTTTAAAAAAACCCCCTTTGGCCGTCTGTTTTTTAAAAAACCTTTGGGTCGTAAGTGGTGGTCAGTGTGATGAGGGTCGGGGGGATGGGGGGCTAGGGGGAGAGGAAGTGGTAGGGCTCGTGGGAGGGCCGGGGGGTGAGGGGCTCAGGGGGTGAGGGCCAAAGGGGGTCGTGGGATGAGGGCTCGTGGGTGGGGTCATGGGGGGTCTCGTGGTTTGGGGTCAGTGTGATGAGGGCTAGTGGGATGAGGGCTCAGGGGGGGTGAGGGGTCAGGGATGGGCTATGGAGAGGGCCAGTGGGGGAGGTGTGGGATGGGGTCGTGGGATGAGGGCTGTGGGATGAGGGTCGGGGGGATGAGGGGCGGTGGGGGGAGGGGCCCGGTGGGATGAGGTGGTGGGATGGGGCTCGGGGGGTGGGGGGCCCGGTGGATGAGGGATCGGGGGGATGAGGGCTCGGTGGGATGAGGGCTCGGTGGGATGGAGGGCTCGGTGGGATGAGGGCTCGGTGGGATGAGGGCTCGGTGGGATGAGGGCTCGGTGGGATGAGGGCTCGGTGGGATGAGGGCTCGGTGGGATGAGGGCTCGGTGGGATGAGGGCTCGGTGGGATGCCTTAGGGATACAGTTGTCATTCATATGTTCTACATTCTAAAGGCTAAATGTCCACGAGCTTTAAACTAGCTGCAGAGGGAGACGTGGGGTTGTGCATGTCGGTCGGTCTGTCTGATTGTCAGACAGTCATTGTAAATAAGAATTAGTTCTTAACGGAACTGCTTGGTAAAATAAAGGTGCCAAAAAAATCTGTCCGAGGGATGTAGAGAACTTGGCAGCGTTAGTGTGTTGACACGTGCGAGCATCTCAAACCCTCTCACCCGTTCAAATCCCCAGCTCCCTGGGATGCCCGACTGCAGGGGATCCATCGCTCTGATTGTCTGAGCCCCAGCTGGCCCCTCCCCCCAGCCCCAGCGCTATGCAACGGTACGGTGTGATAGGCGGTCGGCACGGCATCCCTCATGCACTAGTCTGCTTGGTGATTAGGGGGGTCTGCCCCTAAGCCATTGGCTGTTAGGGCAGTGCAGGGAGGAGCAGTCACCTATAGGAGCACACAGAATGTTGAGGAGAGAGACGGGGGGGACAAGTAGAACAGCGTTGTCTGCAGAAATGAGCTGTCATTTCAAAAGAGAGAGCGATGGAGGATGAGGGATGTAGGGGGGAGGAAGAGGGATGGAGAGGTGCCGGTGTGGAGTGAGTCATGCGACAAGAGGGAGGGAGGGAAGGAGGGGGTGAGTGTGATTAGGATGAGGTAATGCTTTAGCCCAGGGATGATGTCATCCCACAACAGAACCCCCCCCCCCCCAATACACAAACACACACTTTATGCACCTTGTGTGGACCTAAAATGTATTTCCATTCTAAATCCTATTTTCCCTAACCCCTTAACCTTAACTCCTAACCATATTTATAACCCTTACCATAACCCTAATATTAACCTAAACCAATCCCCTAACCCCTAACCCTAATTGTAACCCTAAATCTAACCCTTAAGCTTAAAATAACCTTTGTCCTCATGGGGACGTGGGAAATGTCCCCACCAGGGAGAATTTTCCTTGTTTTACTATCCTTTTGGGGACTTTGGGGATTTCAGTAACACACACACTCACATACGGTTGAGTCATTAAGATTTGGGTTAATTACTGAGCTGGATGTGTAATGGTCTGTTGTAGTGCAGCGAGGGGGCGGAGGGGGCGGAGGGGGCGGAGGCTGGATGTGTAATGGTCTGTTGTAGTGCAGCGAGGGGGCGGAGGGGGCGGAGGCTGGATGTGTAATGGTCTGTTGTAGTGGGGCGGAGGGGGCGGAGGCTGGATGTGTAATGGTCTGTTGTAGTGGGGCGGAGGGGGCGGAGGGGGCGGAGGGGGCGGAGGCTGGATGTGTAATGGTCTGTTGTAGTGGGGCGGAGGGGGCGGAGGGGGCGGAGGGGGCGGAGGCTGGATGTGTAATGGTCTGTTGTAGTCCAGCGTGGGGGCGGAGGGGGCGGAGGGGGCGGAGGGGGCGGAGGCTGGATGTGTAATGGTCTGTTGTAGTCTAGCGTGGGGGCGGAGGGGGCGGAGGCTGGATCTTTGGCTAAGAAATAGAAAATTGATGTTTTTGATATGTAAATAAGGGCCTGATGAGATCATGCACAGTGAATAATATACATGTGATTTCCACACCCCTCTACACTCTCCCCTCCGTCTCTCCAGGTGCCTGTGTGTGTTATCAACTGTTAGTGTTGAATGAGTGAATGAATGATATATTTTCTGTACCTGTCTCCGTCTCCAGGTGTTTGGTAATAAGATGTTCATCCCATCGTTGGACGGAGCGTTGTTCCAGTGGAATAGAGACCGGGAGAGCATGGAAGCTGTTCCCTTCAGTGTCGAGTCTCTCCTGGAGTCGTCCTATCGTATCGGGGAAGACACTGTCCTGGTGGGGGGCAAGAGTCTCACAAGCTACGGTCTGGGAGCCTACAGCGGCAAGGTGAGAGGTCAGAGGTTAGGTCCTGGTGGGGGGGGGGGGGGCAAGACCCTGAACACTAACATTCTAGGAGTCTACAACGGCAAGGTGAGGGGTCAGAGGTTAGGTCCTGGTGTGGGGGGAAAGTCTCATGACCTATGACCTGGGGGCCTACAGCAAACTGTTGGGACGCATATAGACAGAAGTTGGCAGATTGGCGGCACCATGCTGGATGTCTCTAGCTTAACAGACCTATTTTGACATTTATTCATTTATTTATTATGCTATTAAAATATTCAACTCTAGGTGTCCTACCCTTAAAACTGCTGAAAAACTATTCTGTTAAAACGTTTGAAAATTGCCTCATCTGACTACTGTGCTGCCGTCTGGCATCTGACTACTGTGCTGCCGTCTGGCATCTGACTACTGTGCTGCCGTCTGGCATCTGACTACTGTGCTGCCGTCTGGCATCTGACTACTGTGTGCTGCCATCTGGCATCTGACTACTGTGCTGCCATCTGGCATCTGACTACTGTGCTGCCATCTGGCATCTGACTACTGTGTGCTGCCGTCTGGCATCTGACTACTGTGCTGCCGTCTGGCATCTGACTACTGTGCTGCCGTCTGGCATCTGACTACTGTGCTGCCATCTGGCATCTGACTACTGTGCTGCCATCTGGCATCTGACTACTGTGCTGCCGTCTGGCATCTGACTACTGTGCTGCCATCTGGCATCTGACTACTGTGCTGCCGTCTGGCATCTGACTACTGTGCTGCCGTCTGGCATCTGACTACTGTGCTGCCGTCTGGCATCTGACTACTGTGTGCTGCCGTCTGGCATCTGACTACTGTGCTGCCGTCTTGATAACATGTATTCAATGACATCACTTGAATGGTTCGTCTGACAGGCAGCCCAAATTATACTGAACTGTAAGTGATGGTCCCATGTTTCATGAGCTGAAATAAAAGATCCCAGACATTTTACGTACGCACAAAAAGCTTATTTCTCTAAAGGTTTGTGCACAAATTTGTTTACATCCCTGTTAGTGAGCATTTCTCCTTAGCCAAGATAATCCATCCACCTGACAGGTGTGGCATATCAAGAAGCTGATTAAACAGCATGATTATTACACAGGTGCACCTTGTGCTGGGGACAATAAAAGGCAACTCTAAAATGTGCCGTTTTGTCACAACACAATGCCAAAGATGTCTCAAGTTTTGGGGGAGCGTGCAATTGGCTTGCTGACTGCAGGAATGTCCACCAGAGCTGTTGCCAGATAATTGAATGTTAATTTCTCTACCATAAGCCGCCTCCAACGTCGTTTTAGAGAATTTGGCAGTACGTCTAACCACGCCACCCCAGGACCTCCACATACGGCTTCTTCACCTGCGGGATTGTCTCCGAGGGGGGTGTTGAGGAGTATTTATGTCTGTAATAAAGCCCTTTTTGTGGGGAAAAACTCATTCTGATTGGCTGGGCATGGCTCCCCAGTGGGTGGGCCTATGGCCTCCCAGGCCCACCCATGGCTCCGCCCCTGCTGATTGGCTCCGCCCCTGCCCAGTCATGTGAAATCCCTAGATTAGGGCTTAATGAATGTATTTCAATTGACTGATTTCCTTATATGAAATGAAACTGAGTAAAATCATTGAAATTGGTGCATGTTGCATTTTCTATTTTTGTTCAGTGTACAATGCAAGTGTCTTTTTAAAGGCTGCATCCTGTATTTTTGACTCAGAAATTATACTGTGCAAGGTGGGCTATCATAGCCAGCTAGTCCAAAAGCTCGGCTATCATTGATGGATATTGTGCTAGCTAGTGACGTTAGCAGAACAGCTTGCTACAGTGCAGGAATATACTGTGGAATATGGATTTCACTATGGACATTGGCAGCATCATTTGGTAGGTCTCACAACTAGCTGGGTTTTAACAGGACTGTTAGCAACACTACATGTCTGTAACTAACTCTTTCAGAACAGACACCTAGCTAGTTAGCTACATTTGAATACTCCTTTTTCTAGCCCATATAGCAGGCTAGCCTCTCCTATGTTTGGCACATCTGAAGTCCCTCCCTGAAAACCGTTCCATGCATAGTGGACATGATCTGCCTGCAAAAGTCACTTTATTATTGTGGGCATTACAATGCAGTTAGCTAGCTTACTAACCTTGTTTGCTGTTAGCTAGCTTGCTCGTACATTTTACATTTTTACGTCATTTAGCAGACGCTCTTATCCAGAGCGACTTACAGTTAGTGAATACATATATATATACATATATATATATATATATATATTTTTATACTGGCCCCCCGTGGGAATCGAACCCACAACCCTGGCGTTGCAAACGCCATGCTCTATCAACTGAGCTACATCCCTGCCGGCCATTCCCTCCCCTACCCTGGACGACGCTGGGCCAATTGTGCGCCGCCCCATGGGTCTCCCGGTCGCGGCCGGCTGCGACAGAGCCTGGATTCGAACCAGGATCTCTAGTGGCACAGTTAGCACTGCGATGCAGCGCCTTAGACCACTGCGCCACTCAGGAGACTCGTACGATCTGATGTCAAAACTTCTGTAATGATCCCCACAGCTAGACCTGACTAGACCACTGAATGAACACCAGTGGGTTTTTGACTGGACTATACAGTCTTATTTGATGCTATCTACCTGCTTTGTTGTTGTGTACGTCATGCATTTAGCTAGCTGACTAATGTTGGGTGACAGTAACCCACAGCTGGATGAGCAGAGTCTGGATCAGGAAACAGGACGCTCTACTATGACGTTGTTTCAATATCGCTGCGGCCACATCTCTCTAAGCTTGTGCGAATCGCTTGAAAAAAGTCAAATATTATGTTCTAAAAGCATTTTCATAACATCAACAAGGTTACCTAACATCGACATGTAAAACAATGTTGTAGGTTGATTTGAGCATTTCAGTTCCACTTTAAACAGGAAATCTGTGTCCTCTCTCTGGCCCTACTCTTTCTCTCCCTACATACTTGTCTTACCTCATCATCTACTCCTCATTTCTCCCATGTCTCTTGTCCTTCCTCTATGCTCTATCTCCACTCGAGACTATGCTTCGTCCGATAGATTAGGCATCTAGCATACAAGTACTCGAAATCCTCTACTTGTAGGCTCTACTTGATCAGTACTCAGAGCTCATACTCTGCCCTCCTAGCAGACGTGTCATAGCCGAGACTGGGTCGAAGCGCGCAAGAGCGAGCGCTGAGAGAGCACAGAGGAAGAAGAAGACGGGAAGAGAAGCGAGCGGAAGGAGAGAGAGTCAAGAAGGAGCACGTGACCGATGGAGACGTGGTCGAGTTCAGGAGTGACTGCAGAGTACGAGAGTGCGTAAGAACGAAGAGAAAGGAGGAGCGGCAGGAGAGAGATAGAGGACGCAAGATGGAGGGAGAGAGGGTGGAAGAGGGGCGCATGGGCGAGCTGCTAGATGACTTACTCAGTCAGAAGCGCGAGAGAGAGAGTAGAGAGAGAGAGAGGAGAGAGAGAGATCGTCTCTCTCTCTCTCTCTCTCTCTCTCTCCTCTCTCTCCCCTCCTTTTCTCAATCTACCTTTCTCTCCTGTCTCCTCTTGTCCTCTCTCCCTCTCTCCCTCCCTTCTCTGTCCTAGCTGAGATATATCTGCTCAGCAGTGGGCTGTAGCCGCTGGGGGGAGGAGGAGACAGAGTCTGAGGATGTGTTGCTGCTGCAGAGAACCCAGAAGACCGTCAGGGCCGTCCGACCACGCTCCGGCTTGGAGAAGTGAGTCTCAACTATCTCAAACCCCATACACCTGACTATCCTACCCGTACCATCTTTAAAACAACAAGCCCAATATGTCCTGTTCTATATTCACCTTATATCACTAGTTGTTATTTACGTAGTTATTTACGTAATTAGTGGTATTCTAGCTAACAGTGTTCTGATGTTCTCTCTCTCGATGGAGCTGTAACATTCTGGTTCTCTTTCTAGGTGGAACTTCAGCGTGGGGAACTTCGAGCTGAAGTTTGTTCCCGACAAACAGCTGACCAGCAACTTCCTGGAGGGAGAGATGGCGAACGGCGAGGCCATGTGGAAGGAGGAGCAGAGGAGCAGCGGGCAGAAAGTTATCATGGAGGAGGCCACAGACAACCACAGACACACGACAACAGACACGCACACTGACACATCTGGGACACCTGACCTGGTCATCAAGGTGTCCGTTCCTGACTGGAAGGTGATAGCCTTCAGCACCCAGCCTGGAGGACAGATGGTCTGGGAACAGCAGGTAATTATACATCTATAACACCTATTAACAGTCCTGGGGGACAGCTGGTCTGGGACCAGCAGGTAATTATACATCTATAACACCTATTAACAGTCCTGGGGGACAGATGGTCTGGGACCAGCAGGTAATTATACATCTATAACACCTATTAACAGTCCTGGAGGACAGCTGGTCTGGGACCAGCAGGTAATTATACATCTATAACACCTATTAACAGTCCTGGAGGACAGCTGGTCTGGGACCAGCAGGTAATTATACATCTATAACACCTATTAACAGTCCTGGAGGACAGCTGGTCTGGGACCAGCAGGTAATTATACATCTATAACACCTATTAACAGTCCTGGAGGACAGCTGGTCTGGGACCAGCAGGTAATTATACATCTATAACACCTATTAACAGTCCTGGAGGACAGCTGGTCTGGGACCAGCAGGTAATTATACATCTATAACACCTATTAACAGTCCTGGAGGACAGCTGGTCTGGGACCAGCAGGTACGGAGACTGTGACGCTTAATTAGCTCAGCTGGTAGAGCATGGAGCTTGTAACGCCAGGGTAGTGGGTTCGATCCCCGGGACCACCCATACGTAAAAATGTATGCACACATGACTGTAAGTCGCTTTGGATAAAAGCGTCTGCTAAATGGCATATTATTATTATATTATTACTCTTTAAAGGCCCAGTGCGGTCAAAAATGTGGTTTTCCAGTGTTTTATATACATTTCCACATGAATGATGATAATGCCCTTTTAGTGTAAGAGTTGTGTGAAAAGACCACCAGAAATGTCAGCTTGTTTTGGTGGGATGGAGTTTTGGCCTGCATGGTGACATCACCAGGCGGTAAATGAGTTAATAGGCCAATAAGGAAGAGTTCCAAACCTCTCTGCCAATAACAGCTCGTTTTCAGTTTCCCCCTCCCCACTCAGTACTAGCAAAATTCTTGCTTGAGAAATTGCTCTTTGCTAAGAAGCTATTTTTGTTTATTTTTGACCATTTTAATTTAAAACAATCACAGTAAGTTACTTAATTGTTACCCAGAAATGATTTGATATTGAAATAAAAAATGGCTGCATTGGACCTATATCACTAGAACTGCCTGACCTTTCAGCCTATCAGTACCCGCTAGAGAACGCTGCCGGGCGTCCCTTTCAGCCTATCAGTACCCGCTAGAGAACGCTGCCGGGGCATCCCTTTCAGCCTATCAGTACCCGCTAGAGAACGCTGCCGGGGCATCCCTTTCAGCCTATCAGTACCCGCTAGAGAACGCTGCCGGGCATCCCTTTCAGCCTATCAGTACCCGCTAGAGAACGCTGCCGGGGCGTCCCTTTCAGCCTATCAGTACCCGCTAGAGAACGCTGCCGGGCGTCCCTTTCAGCCTATCAGTACCCGCTAGAGAACGCTGCCGGGCGTCCCTTTCAGCCTATCAGTACCCGCTAGAGAACGCTGCCGGGCGTCCCTTTCAAGCCTATCAGTACCCGCTAGAGAACGCTGCCGGGCGTCCCTTTCAGCCTATCAGTACCCGCTAGAGAACGCTGCCGGGCGTCCCTTTCAGCCTATCAGTACCCGCTAGAGAACGCTGCCGGGGCGTCCCTTTCAGCCTATCAGTACCCGCTAGAGAACGCTGCCGGGGCGTCCTTCCTTCCTAGGCCCTTTCAGCCTATCAGTACCCGCTAGAGAACGCTGCCGGGCGTCCCTTTCAGCCTATCAGTACCCGCTAGAGAACGCTGCCGGGGTCCCTTTCAGCCTATCAGTACCCAGCTAGAGAACGCTGCCGGGGCGTCCCTTTCAGCCTATCAGTACCCGCTAGAGAACGCTGCCGGGGCGTCCCTTTCAGCCTATCAGTACCCGCTAGAGAACGCTGCTGGGGCGTCCCTTTCAGCCTATCAGTACCCGCTAGAGAACGCTGCCGGGGCGTCCCTTTCAGCCTATCAGTACCGCTAGAGAACGCTGCCGGGGCATCCCTTTCAGCCATCAGTACCCGCTAGAGAACGCTGCCGGGGCATCCCTTTCAGCCTATCAGTACCCGCTAGAGAACGCTGCCGGGCGTCCCTTTCAGCCTATCAGTACCGCTAGAGAACGCTTGCCGGGGCGTCCCTTTCACCTATCAGTACCCGCTAGAGAACGCTGCCGGGCGTCCCTTTCAGCCTATCAGTACCCGCTAGAGAACGCTGCCGGGGCGTCCCTTTCAGCCTATCAGTACCCGCTAGAGAACGCTGCCGGGGCATCCCTTTCAGCCTATCAGTACCCGCTAGAGAACGCTGCCGGGCGTCCCTTTCAGCCTATCAGTACCCGCTAGAGAACGCTGCCGGGCGTCCCTTTCAGCCTATCAGTACCCGCTAGAGAACGCTGCCGGGGCGTCCCTTTCAGCCTATCAGTACCCGCTAGAGAACGCTGCCGGGGCGTCCCTTTCAGCCTATCAGTACCCGCTAGAGAACGCTGCCGGGCATCCCTTTCAGCCTATCAGTACCCGCTAGAGAACGCTGCCGGGCATCCCTTTCAGCCTATCAGTACCCGCTAGAGAACGCTGCCGGGGCGTCCCTTTCAGCCTATCAGTACCCGCTAGAGAACGCTGCCGGGCATCCCTTTCAGCCTATCAGTACCCGCTAGAGAACGCTGCCGGGGCGTCCCTTTCAGCCTATCAGTACCCGCTAGAGAACGCTGCTGGGCGTCCCTTTCAGCCTATCAGTACCCGCTAGAGAACGCTGCCGAGCGTTACATCGACCTCTTCATCATTCCGTTAGGCCTAATTTACAGGAAATTCGAATGTGAAGTAACTTGCACAATTATCGCCCGTTCATCCATGTGTCGTTCACTCAGTGGTCAGGCATCGTTTGCTTCGCTGGATAGAGTTAAGGATGTTTTGCATTATTCTAAAGGCCACTGCAGCATGTAGCATGTTTTCGTTTGCCTCTACGATACCTTTGATTAGTAATAGAGTTATAGCAATTGTAAGAAGATTCAGGGAGGACATGGCACATTCTAAAATATATTTACATAATCAAACGTCAGTGGCTGTTGGCCTATGGCGGTTCTAGTGTTAGAGTTAACCTGACCTATACTTTTCCAACCTAGCCTGATCCCAGATCTGTTTGTTCTGTCTTGAGAACTCCTATGGTCATTGTCAAGACAGCACAAACAGATCTCTGACCAGATCTCCAACCTCTCTATTCAGTGTTCAGCCTAGTATTGACACATGTTTCCCCTGTAGTTCTGCACGCCCATCGCCTCTGCCTGGTTGGTTGGCGGGGGGAAGGTGACGGCCATCAGCCTGTTTGATGACACGCCCTACAGCAGTCGTGCTGACGCGGAGGAGCAGGAAGAGGAGGATGAGGACATTATGGAGGCTGCTCGGGAAGCTACGGAGTCCAGCGTATACCTGGGTAGGTAAACCCTGACCTCTGACCTCTAAACCCTGACTCTAACGCACGGACACCATAGCCTACACATTCACAATGGAGGAGGTGGAGCTACGGAGTCCTGCATATACCTGGGTAACCAAACATATGATAGTTAACAGACACCAGACACTGTACTGTCAGTCACTATGGGGGCGCTGTTTCATTGATCTGTACCTAGACAGCTTGCTATCTGCTGGCAGACTCACCAGACGGTCCTCAGGGGATTGACTTTCTCACACAGCTGGAATGTGTGTATTGATGTGTCTGACTGTGTTAGTGTCAGTGCTAACCCTCTCCCCAGGTCCTGGTTGGTTGTCAGTGCAACCTCTCCCCCAGGTCCTGTGGTTGTTAGTGCAGGCTAACCCTTCCCCAGTCTCCCCATGGTCCCCTCCAGTCCTTTCCCAGACCCTCTCCCCAGGCCCTTCCGTCAGTCCCATTCCCAGGTCCTGTGGTTGTTGGTATGCTAACAGCTCTCTCCAGGTCCTGCTCCCAGGTCCCTCCCAGCGTCCTCTCCCAGGATCCCTCTCTCCACAGGTCCCTTGCCCAGGTCCTGTTGTTGTGTTGTGTAGTGCTAACCCTCTCCCCAGGTCCTGTGGTTGTTAGTGTCAGTGCTAACCCTCTCCCCAGGTCCTGTGGTTGGTTGTCAGTGCTAACCCTCTCCCCAGGTCCTGTGGTTGTTAGTGTCAGTGCTAACCCTCTCCCCAGGTCCTGTGGTGGTCTGTAGTGCTACCCTCTCCCCAGGTCCTGTGGTTGGTTGGTAGTGCTAACCCTCTCCCCAGGTCCTGTGGTTGGTTGGTAGTGCTAACCCTCTCCCCAGGTCCTGTGGTTCGTTGTCAGTGCTACCCTCTCCCCAGTCTTTGGGGTAGCTGCTACCACCCTCTCCCCAGGTCCTGTGGTTGGTTGGTAGTGCTAACCCTCTCCCAGGTCCTGTGGTTGGTTGGTAGTGCTAACCCTCTCCCCAGGTCCTGTGGTTGGTTGGTAGTGCTAACCCTCTCCCAGGTCCTGTGGTTGGTTGGTAGTGCTAACCCTCTCCCCAGGTCCTGTGGTTGGTTGGTAGTGCTAACCCTCTCCCCAGGTCCTGTGGTTGGTTGGTAGTGCTAACCCTCTCCCCAGGTCCTGTGGTTGGTTGTCAGTGCTAACCCTCTCCCCAGGTCCTGTGGTTGGTTGGTAGTGCTAACCCTCTCCCCAGGTCCTGTGGTGTTGGTTGGAGTGCTAACCCTCTCCCCAGGTCCTGTGGTTGGTTGGTAGTGCTAACCCTCTCCCCCAGGTACCTGTGGTTGGTTTGGTAGTTCTAAACCTCTCTCCCCAGGTCCTGTGGTTGGGTTGGTAGTGCTAACACCCTCTCCCAGGTCCTGTGGTTGTTTGGTAGTGCTAACCCTCTCCCCAGGTCCCTGTTTGGTTGGTGTCACTTGCTAACCCTCTCTTCCCCCAGGTCCTGGTGGTTGGTGGTATGGCTAAACCCTCTCCCCGGTCCGGTGGTTGGTTGGGTAGTGCTAACCCTCTCCCAGGTCCTGTGGTTGGTTGGTAGTGCTAACCCTCTCCCCAGGTCCTGTGGTTGGATTGGTAGTGCTAACCCTCTCCCCAGGTCCTGTGGTTGTTGGTAGTGCTAACCCTCTCCCCAGGTCTGTGGTTGTTGGTAGTGCTAACCCTCTCCCCACCAGGTCTGTGTTGTTTGTGATGCCTAACCCTCTCCCCAGGTCCTGTGGTTGGTTGTCAGTGCTAACCCTCTCCCCAGGTCCTGTGTTGTTGTCAGTGCTAACCTCATCCCCAGGTCCTGTGGTTGGTTGTCAGTGCTAAACCCTCTCCCCAGGTCCTGTGGTTGGGTTGTTAGTGTCAGTGCTAACCCTCTCCCCAGGTCCTGTGGTTGTTAGTGTCAGTGCTAACCCTCTCCCCAGGTCCTGTGGTTGTTAGTGTCAGTGCTAACCCTCTCCCCCAGGTCCTGTGGTTGGTTGTAGTGCTAACCCTCTCCCCAGGTCCTGTGGTTGGTTGGTAGTGCTAACCCTCTCCCCAGGTCCTGTGGTTGGTTGGTAGTGCTAACCCTCTCCCCAGGTCCTGTGGTTGTTAGTGTCAGTGCTAACCCTCTCCCCCAGGTCCTGTGGTTGGTTGGTAGTGCTAACCCTCTCCCCAGGTCCTGTGGTTGGTTGGTAGTGCTAACCCTCTCCCCAGGTCCTGTGGTTGGTTGGTAGTGCTAACCCTCTCCCCAGGTCCTGTGGTTGTTAGTGTCAGTGCTAACCCTCTCCCCCAGGTCCTGTGGTTGGTTGGTAGTGCTAACCCTCTCCCCAGGTCCTGTGGTTGTTAGTGTCAGTGCTAACCCTCTCCCCAGGTCCTGTGGTTGGTTGGTAGTGCTAACCCTCTCCCCAGGTCCTGTGGTTGGTTGTCAGTGCTAACCCTCTCCCCCCAGGTCCTGTGGTTGGTTGTCAGTGCTAACCCTCTCCCCAGGTCCTGTGGTTGGTTGTTAGTGCTAACCCTCTCCCCAGGTCCTGTGGTTGTTAGTGTCAGTGCTAACCCTCTCCCCAGGTCCTGTGGTTGGTTGTCAGTGCTAACCCTCTCCCCAGGTCCTGTGGTTGGTTGTTAGTGCTAACCCTCTCCCCCAGGTCCTGTGGTTGGTTGTTAGTGCTAACCCTCTCCCCAGGTCCTGTGGTTGTTAGTGTCAGTGCTAACCCTCTCCCCAGGTCCTGTGGTTGGTTGGTAGTGCTAACCCTCCCCCCAGGTCCTGTGGTTGGTTGTCAGTGCTAACCCTCTCCCCAGGTCCTGTGGTTGTTAGTGTCAGTGCTAACCCTCTCCCCAGGTCCTGTGGTTGGTTGGTAGTGCTAACCCTCTCCCCCAGGTCCTGTGGTTGGTTGGTAGTGCTAACCCTCTCCCCAGGTCCTGTGGTTGGTTGGTAGTGCTAACCCTCTCCCCCAGGTCCTGTGGTTGGTTGTCAGTGCTAACCCTCTCCCCAGGTCCTGTGGTTGGTTGTTAGTGTCAGTGCTAACCCTCTCCCCAGGTCCTGTGGTTGGTTGTCAGTGCTAACCCTCTCCCCAGGTCCTGTGGTTGTTAGTGTCAGTGCTAACCCTCTCCCCAGGTCCTGTGGTTGGTTGGTAGTGCTAACCCTCTCCCCAGGTCCTGTGGTTGGTTGGTAGTGCTAACCCTCTCCCCAGGTCCTGTGGTTGGTTGGTAGTGCTAACCCTCTCCCCCAGGTCCTGTGGTTGGTTGTCAGTGCTAACCCTCTCCCCAGGTCCTGTGGTTGGTTGTCAGTGCTAACCCTCTCCCCAGGTCCTGTGGTTGGTTGTTAGTGCTAACCCTCTCCCCCAGGTCCTGTGGTTGGTTGTTAGTGCTAACCCTCTCCCCAGGTCCTGTGGTTGTAGTGTCAGTGCTACCCTCTCCCCCAGGTCCTGTGGTTGGTTGGTCAGTGCTAACCTCTCCCCAGGTCCTGTGGTTGGTTGTAGTGCTAACCCTCTCCCCAGGTCCTGTGGTTGTTAGTGTCAGTGCTAACCCTCTCCCCAGGTCCTGTGGTTGGTTGTCAGTGCTAACCCTCTCCCCAGGTCCTGTGGTTGGTTGGTAGTGCTAACCCTCTCCCCAGGTCCTGTGGTTGGTTGGTAGTGCTAACCCTCTCCCCCAGGTCCTGTGGTTGTTGTTGTCAGTGCTAACCCTCTCCCCAGGTCCTGTGGTTGGTTGTAGTGCTAACCCTCTCCCCAGGTCCTGTGGTGTGTTAGTGTCAGTGCTAACCCTCTCCCCAGGTCCTGTGGTTGGTTGGTAGTGTACCTCTCCCCAGTCTGGTTGTGTAGTGCTAACCCTCTCCCCAGGTCCTGTGGTTGTGTTGGTGTAGTGCTAACCCTCTCCCCAGGCCTGTGTTGGTTGGTAGTGCTAACCCTCTCCCCGGTCCTGTGGTTGGTTGGTAGTGCTAACCCTCTCCCCAGGTCCTGTGGTGGTTGGTAGTGCTAACCCTCTCCCAAGGTCCTGTGGTTGGTTGGTAGTGCTAACCCTGGGCTAACACCGCCCCAGGTCCTGTGGGTTGTTAGTGTCAGTGCTAAACCCTCTCCCCAGGTCCTGTGGTTGGTTGTCAGTGCTAACCCTCTCCCCAGGTCCTGTGGTTGGTTGTTAGTGTCAGTGCTAACCCTCTCCCCAGGTCCTGTGGTTGGTTGTTAGTGTCAGTGCTAACCCTCTCCCCAGGTCCTGTGGTTGGTTGTTAGTGTCAGTGCTAAGCCTCTCCCCAGGTCCTGTGGTTGGTTGTTAGTGTCAGTGCTAAGCCTCTCCCCAGGTCCTGTGGTTGGTTGTTAGTGTCAGTGCTAACCCTCTCCCCAGGTCCTGTGGTTGGTTGTTAGTGCTAACCCTCTCCCCAGGTCCTGTGGTTGTTAGTGTCAGTGCTAACCCTCTCCCCAGGTCCTGTGGTTGGTTGTTAGTGCTAACCCTCTCCCCAGGTCCTGTGGTTGGTTGTCAGTGCTAACCCTCTCCCCAGGTCCTGTGGTTGGTTGTCAGTGCTAACCCTCTCCCCAGGTCCTGTGGTTGGTTGTCAGTGCTAACCCTCTCCCCAGGTCCTGTGGTTGGTTGGTAGTGCTAACCCTCTCCCCAGGTCCTGTGGTTGTTAGTGTCAGTGCTAACCCTCTCCCCCAGGTCCTGTGGTTGGTTGTTAGTGTCAGTGCCTACCCTCTCCCCTCCCAGATATGTACCAGGGTCAGCTGTACCTGCAGTAGGGTGTGTGTTATCCGTAATAACTCTCTCCCTTTCGTGTGTTTTCCAGGTATGTATCAGGGTCAGCTGTACCTGCAGTCATCCGTCAAGATCTCAGAAAAGTTCCCATCTAAAGGCCTAAACGGGCCTGGCCCAGACCCGGACACCATCCCTACTATCAGATGGAAACCCCTCATACGTACGTACTTCTATGAGTATATTGGCACCAGAACTTTAATGACTGAGATATCCACACTCCATCCATGTTCCCTTAAATAGATTAATAGGTCATCTACCTGGAGTGATATCCAGCGTGCTATCTGGAGCGATATCCAGCGTGCTACCAGGAGCGATATCCAGCGTGCTACCAGGAGCGATATCCAGCGTGCTATCTGGCGCGGTAACAAGCGTGCTATCTGGCGCGGTAACAAGCGTGCTATCTGTAATTAGTTTTAATGCAGTATCTCTTTAATGCAGATTCTCCATCTCGGACGCCTGTGCTGGTTGGTTCTGATGAGTTTGACAAGTGTCTGAACAACGACAAGTTCTCTCATGAAGAATACAGCAACGGAGCTCTGTCTGTCCTGCAGTACCCGTATGGTAAGAACCTACTGTTATAACCTGTTATAACCTGTTATAACCTCATATTATACTGTCTGTCCTGCAGTACCCATATGGTAAGAACCTACTGTTATAACCTGTTATAACCTCATATTATACTGTCTGTCCTGCAGTACCCATATGGTAAGAACCTACTGTTATAACCTGTTATAACCTGTTATAACCTCATATTATACTGTCTGTCCTGCATTACCCATATGGTAAGAACCTACTGCTGCTAAGCTTCCCAGTAAAGCAATAAAAACAAGTAAGCATCCCAAAAGAAAAGTGCTCAAAATAGCCCACGTTAACATATGTAGCTTAAGAAACAAGGTTCATGAAATCAATAATTTGCCAGTAACAGATGACATTCATATTCTGACTATCTCTGAAACTCACTTAGACAATACCTTTTGATGATACAGTGGTAGCAATACAAGGTTATAAGATCTACAGAAAATATAGAAATGCCAATGGTGGAGGTGTTGCTGTTTATATTCAGAACCACATTCCTGTGAAGATTAGAGAGGATCTCATGTTAAATACTGTTGAAGTAATATGGCTACAGGTTCATCTGCCTCACCTAAAGCCCATTCTGGTGGGAAGCTGCTATAGACCACCAAGTGCTAACAGTCAGTATCTGGATAACATGTGAAATGCTTGATAATGTATGTGATATCAACAGAGAGGGTTATTTTCTGGGTGATTTTAAATATTGACTGGCTTTCATCAAGCTGCCCACTCAAGAGAAAGCTTCAAACTGTAACTAGTGCCTGGAACCTGGTTCAGGTTATCAGTCAACATACCAGGGTAGTTACAAACAGTACAGGAATTAAATCATCAACATGTATTGATCATATCTTTACTAATGCTGCAGAGATTTGTTTGAAAGCAGTATCCAAATCCATCGGATATAGTGATCACAATATAGTAGCCATATCTAGGAAAACCATAGTTCCAAAGGCTGGGCCTAATATTGTGTATAAGAGGTCTTACAATAAGTTTTGTAGTGATTCCTATGTTGTTGATGTAAAGAATATTTGTTGGTCCGTGGTGTGTAATGAGGAGCAAACAGACACTTGACACATTTATGAAATTGCTTATTCCAGTTACTAATAAGCATTCAACCAATAAGAAAATGACTGTAAAAACTGTTAAATCCACGTGGATTGTTGAGGAATTTAAAAATTGTGTGGTTGAGAGGGATGAGGCAAAAGGAATGGCAAATAAGTCTGGCTGTACATTTATTTGTATTTTTCTGTCTGGCTGTACAACTGATTTGGCAAACATATTGCAAATTGAGAAACCATGTGACTAAACTGAATAAAAAGAAACAAGGATAAATGACATAAAGAATGATAGTAAAAAGCTTTGGAGCACCTTAAATGAAATTTTGGGAAAAAAGGCAAACTCAGCTCCATCATTCATTGAATCAGATGGCTTCATTCATCACAAAACCAACTGATATTTCCAACAACTTTAATAATTTTTCCATTGGCAAGATTAGCAAACTTCGGCATGACATGCCAGCAACAATTTCTGACACTACACATCCAAGTATATCTGACCAAATTATGAAAGACAAGAATTGTAATTTTGAATTCCGTAAAGTGAGTGTGGAAGAGGTGAACAAATTATTGTTGTCTATTAACAATGACAAGCCACCGGGGTCTGACAACTTGGATGGAAAATTGCTAAGGATAATAGCGGACGATATTGCCACTCCTATTTGCCATATCTTAAATTTAAGCCTACTAGAAAGTGTGTGCCCTCAGGCCTGGAGGGAAGCAAAAGTCATTCTGCTACCTAAGAATAGTAAAGCCCCCTTAACTGGCTCAAATAGCCGACCAATCAGCCTGTTACTAACCCTTAGTAAACGATTAGGAAAAATTGTGTTTGACCAGATACAATGCTATTTTACTGTAAACAAATTGACAACAAACTTTCAGCATGCTTATAGAAAAGGACATTCAACAAGCACAGTACTTACACAAATGACTGATGATTGGCTGAGAGAAATTGATGATAAAAAGATTGTGGGGGCTGTTTTGTTAGACTTCAGTGCGGCTTTTGACATTATCGATCATAGTCTGCTGCTGGAAAAACATATGTGTTTTGGCTTTACACCCCCTGCTATATTGTGGATAAAGAGTTACCTGTCTAACAGAACACAGAGGGTGTTCTTTAATGGAAGCCTCTCCAACATAATCCAGGTAGAATCAGGAATTCCCCAGGGCAGCTGTCTAGGCCCATTTCTTTTTTCCATCTTTACTAACGACATGCCACTGGCTTTGAGAAAAGCCAGTGTGTCTATGTATGTGGATGACTCAACACTATACACGTCAGCTAATACAGCAACTGAAATGACTGCAACACTTAACAAAGAGTTGCAGTTAGTTTCGGAATGGGTGGCAAGGAATAAGTTAGTCCTGAATTTTTCCAAAACTAAAAGCATTGTATTTGGGTCACCTAAACCTCAACGACATCTCGTAATGAATAATGTGGAAATTGAGCAAGTTGAGGTGACTAAACTGCTTGGAGTAACCCTGGATTGTAAACTGTCATGGTCAAAACATATTGATACAACAGTAGCTAAGATGGGGAGAAGTCTGTCCATAATAAAGCGCTGCTCTGCCTTCTTAACAACACTATCAACAAGGCAGGTCCTACAGGCCCTAGTTTTGTCGCACCTGGACTACTGTTCAGTAGTGTGGTCAGGCAGGAACTAATGGGGATCCATAATAAACCCCAGGAAGAGTAGCTGCTGCCTTGGCAGGAACTAATAGGGATCCATAATAAACCCCAGGAAGGGTAGCTGCTGCCTTGGCAGGAACTAACAGGGATCCATAATAAACCCCAGGAAGAGTAGCTGCTGCCTTGGCAGGAACTAATAGGGATCCATAATAAACCCCAGGAAGAGTAGCTGCTGCCTTGGCAGGAACTAATGGGGATCCATAATAAACCCCAGGAAGAGTAGCTGCTGCCTTGGCAGGAACTAATGGCGATCCATAATAAACCCCAGGAAGAGTAGCTGCTGCCTTGGCAGGAACTAATGGGGATCCATAATAAACCCCAGGAAGAGTAGCTGCTGCCTTGGCAGGAACTAATGGGGATCCATAATAAACCCCAGGAAGAGTAGCTGCTGCCTTGGCAGGAACTAATGGGGATCCATAATAAACCCCAGGAAGAGTAGCTGCTGCCTTGGCAGGAACTAATGGGGATCCATAATAAACCCCAGGAAGAGTAGCTGCTGCCTTGGCAGGAACTAATGGGGATCCATAATAAACCCCAGGAAGAGTAGCTGCTGCCTTGGCAGGAACTAATGGGGATCCATAATAAACCCCAGGAAGAGTGCCGCTGCCTTGGCAGGAACTAATGGCGATCCATAATAAACCCCAGGAAGAGTAGCTGCTGCCTTGGCAGGAACTAATGGGGATCCATAATAAATACAAATACAAAAATACAAATAACCTTTTATAACCTCCTATTATACTGTCTTTGTTTAACCAGTATAAAATCATAACCACCTCTTGTTGTTTTACCATGGTGTTAAAAATGACATGGAAATTCATTGTTGTTTTGTTGGTTATAATAGTACAAGTTGTTGATTGATTGACGGGTTCCTCTCTCCGTTCCCCAGACAACGGGTACTACTTCCCATACAGTAAGCGTTACCGTGGGCGACGTGGCGTGGCGGAGGTGTCTCTGCTGAAGGGTGGTGGTGCGGCGGAGAAGAAGAGGAGGAAGGATCCGGTGCTGTTACTGCCCTGGTGGAAAGAGATTCTAGGGACCATGGTCTTCTGTATCGCTGCTACCACCTACATAGTCAGGAAGTTTTTCCACCCCCCCGCCCCTGTGGCATATATACGGGTGAGACCACATAGCCAACCACACATCATCTTCACATGTCAGCCACATACAGTAGATTTAGTTTGTATTCTTGATTAGTGGACACTGTAGCAAAATGTTTTGCAATGGACAATTTCAAGTAGGTCCTCCCTCTTTCAGTTTGTCTTCTTCTGTTTGGTATCTACGACCCAGTACATAGAGGGGATGTGGAATTGTGTTTAGAAGTATATTTTGTTTACTGAATTTGTTTCTGGATCAATGTTCATTAATAATCCTGTCTCTATCCTGATCTCCGTAGCAACGCAAGGAGTCGGAGACTCAGTGTCAGACCGACAGCAAGTATGACCTTGAGGTGGCCGAACCCAAAGAGATAGTTGTCATGGAGACCCGCTCAAGTGAATATGTGTCCAGGTATTGTACGGCGTTAATATTAAAACAGACCTGACAACTGATTCACTAAGGCTACGTCCCAAATGCCACCCTACTTATACTGTATAGTAGCTGATAGCCCCCCCCCCCAGTATTCATACTGTATAGTAGCTGATAGCCCCCCCCCGTATTCATACTGTATAGTAGCTGATAGCCCCCCCCCAGTATTCATACTGTATAGTAGCTGATAGCCCCCCCCCCAGTATTCATACTGTATAGTAGCTGATAGCCCCCCCCCCCAGTATTCATACTGTATAGTAGCTGATAGCCCCCCCCCCCCAGTATTCATACTGTATAGTAGCTGATAGCCCCCCCCCCAGCCCCC